CTTCTGGGTCTCCCATGAGGGTATAGGGGCCCAAGGCCTTGGGCCATCTTCTACTGCTTTCCCAGGCCATAGCAGAGAGCTGGATTGGAAGTGGATCAGCCGAGTCTTGAACTGGCGCCCATAAGGGATGCCAGGACTGCAGGCGGCGGCTTTACCTGTTAAGCCACAGTGCCAGCCCCTTCACTGTGGTTTTACTTTGTTTCCCTGATGATTAGTAACACTGAGCATTTTTTCCTGTATCTGTTGGCCACTTGTATGTCTTCCTCTGAGAAATCTGTTTAGATTTACTACAGATATTGAGTTGAGTTCCTTATATTTTCTGGATATTACCCCTTTTCACATGTATAGCTTGCAAATATTTCCTTCTGTTCTGTAGGTTTTCTTTGTCAACTGCTTATTTTTCTGTACAAAAGCTCTTAAGTTTGGTGAAAGTCCATTAGTCCACTTTTGCTTTTCTTTGGTTTTGTGGTCTAATCCAGAAACTTCTTGTTCATTACAATGTCTTAAAGTGCTTTCCCTGTGTTTTCTTTCAATAGTTTCAACATCTCACCTCTTATATGTAGGTCTTTTACCTATTTTGAGTTGATTATTTGTACATGGTAAGATATAGCAGTGTAGTTTATTCTTGTGCATGTGGGTTAAAAATACTGTCCTTTTTCCAATTCGTGTTCTTAACAACACTTCTGTGGCCAACTTATCTTTGACAAAAGTTTGGATTTACTGTTAAGTTCTTCAGTCTGTTCCGTTGAGCTATGGTTCTTTTATACCAATATCATGCTCTTTTAATTATAGTAGCTTTGTAACATATTTTAAAGTTGGGTAGTATTATGCCTCCTGCTTTACTTATCATTGCTTTGGCTATTTGGGGTCTTTTGTGATTTGATACACATTATATCAATGTTTTCTAATTCTGTGAGAAATGTCATTGGGGTTTTGATAGGTACTGAATCTGTAAATTGCTTTGGGTTGTATGTGCATTTTAATATTCTAATTCATGAACGTGTAATGTCTTTATTTGTTTCCTCTTCAATTTCTTTCATCAATGCTTTTCGGTTTTCATTGTAGAAATCTTTCACGTTTTTGTTCTGTATTCCCAAATTTTTTTGTAGCCATTGGAAATGGGATTTCTTTTTCAGATAAATCTCTATTGACTTTATACATTGACTTTATATCTTCAGCTTTGCTAGGTTTGTTCATTAGTTCTAGCATGTTTTTGTTGGAAACCTTGGAATTTTTTTGTATAAAATCATGTTATTTGCAAACAATTACAATTTGACTTCCTTCTTTCTATAGGGATGTCCTTTATTTCTCTCCTGTCTGATTCGTCTGGCTAGGACTTCCAGTACTCTGTTGAGTAGATGTGGTGTAATTAAGCATCCTTTTCTTGTTCTTGTCCTCAGACAAGAAGTCTTCAACTTTTCCACACCCAGTATGGTGTTAGCTTTCTTCTTTTCACCCTCAATGGTCCTCTATTGCAGCTCCTGTGTGTTAGTGATTTCACATGGCTCCCAAAGTGAATTTCTCAGGTGTTCCACTCTACTCCATCTTTTCTCTACCAACCTGTCTCCATTTTAAACCAGCCTCTAATTTGACTATAATAGAGAAGCGAATTTGTAACTGTCTTTAACAAACATTTGCAGATCAATGTTTATACAAGAATCTGAAAAAAATCTTCATATCAATCATTGTCAATTTTTACAAACACACTGTTAATATAGCACTAAAACATCGTGTCCTGGTAAGTTGAGTCTTCTATGAAGACTTGTAGCTCCACAGTAGCTATTTTACCATCTCTAATTCATGCACTTATGCCTCTGTTCAGTTTCTACATAGTTAATTAGTGTTAGCTTGTGTCAGGCCTAATGACAGGTGCTGAGCATTGGTGATTTTCTAAGAAGGAATAGTTGTAGCACTTCTATTTACTGAATTCCTTTAAAAGATTTTATTTGAGGGGCAGTTTTACAGACATAGAAGGAAAGAGATAAAGGTCTTCCATCAGCTGGTTTACCCCTCAAATGGCTGCAACAGAGCTGGGCTGATCTAAAGCCAGGAGTCATGAGTTTCTTCCAGATTTCCTACGCGGATACAGGGGCCCAATCTGTTAGGCCATCTTTCACTGCTTTCCCAGGTGCTTTTGCGAAGAGCTGGATCTGAAGAGGAGCAGCTGGGACACCAATCGGCACCCATATGGGATGCCAGCACTACAGGCAGAGGCCTAGCCCACTATGTCACAGCGTTGGTCCCCTACTTCAAGTTCTTAACTAGCTGATATCAGGAGTCAAGGCTCAAAATACATGTTTTGTAATTGATAAGCCTGGATCAGAGATTAAGGGTTAGATCCACAGACCTAGATGGCTTCTGACTTGGCCTCTTCTCACCTGAATCTGTCCCTGCGGTACAGAGTGCCAATGGAGATATACCTTCCCTCTGCCTGCATTAATGAATACTCATCAGCTTATGTAATTATAGGTTAAGATAAGAACAGAACAGTTACGAACTATTGGGAAGCTGCAGTGAGACTGGCATGATATAGATATTACACATATCAAATATTTCTTAAATTCTACTAGTTATTTTTATAGACAAGGAAATGAAGGCTAAGAAAGAGGTAAAGTAATTTGCCTAAGCTCTGGCAGTTGATAAAAGGTAGCTTTGGTATTTATACACAATTTACATGTCTCCAATGCTTATGCTCTTGGTTCTGAGAGACCTAAGTTCCAAATTAGTAGGGTTCTCCATTCCTATCTCCTGTGTATGGACTAAAGCCATTTTTATATGTCATTATTGTCTCTCTACTCCTCACTAGTTGTCATATGCATACATAGTCCTTTAGGTGGAATCATTGTAACCACAAAGATTGAAGTTGCTATTTTTAGAAACATCCATATAGCTAAGCACAAGATGAACTCTCTAGGGACACCACTGGCTTTCATTGCATGATAGGTGGCATAAGAAAAACCATTGGTTGAGGTGAAAACACCATCAACACAACCACAGTAAAGTAGAACAAATCTAAGATGGTAAATCAATCCCAAGTCTTGCAAATCTCCTTCATGAAAGGTTCCAGGAAGTGGAAACAAGAATATCAAGAAACACTTATTTCATGGGGACATATAACTCTGATAATTATGTTAATACCTGAGTACTCTCATTCTCTGAGAAATTTGGAGTTTGCTCTAATTTTTGCGACTAAGACACCAGCTAGTTCCAGATGCCTCTTTACTTATGTGCAACCCTTGGTTAGTGCTCCCTCTAGTGGCAGTTTATTGACTTCACCATAATTACCCTCTCTTGATATGTATTTATATGGTTAAAATCATAAGAGTTTTCAGTTAATCAGTTCTTACATGGTCTTTATTTCTATAATTTTAATTACCATAATAACTACAAGTTTTATTTGATGTGATTTATTAGTTACTTCCACTTTTACTATTAAAATAATGTCCTGTTCAGTATGCTAATATATATTTAAAACATTTCCTTAGATTAAATATTCAATAGTTGAATTTTGAGTACACAGGGCATGTCTCTTTATATTGGGTCAAATTCTTCTATGTGAGTTTAAAAGGGGCTGCTGTTATTACACAGCTGGTTAAGCTGCCATCTGCAGTGCTGGCATCCCATAGTGTGCTAGTTTGAGACCTAGCTACTCCATTATTGACCCATCTCCCTGCTAAAGTGCCTGGGAATGCAGTAGAGGATATCCAAAGTGCTTGGGACCATGAACCCATATAGGAGACCTGGATAAAGCTTCTGGCTTTAGACTGGCCCAGCTTCAACCATTGCAGCCATTTTGGGGGTGACAGCATATGGAAGACCTCTCTCTCTGTTTCTACTCCTCTCTCTGTGTAACTCTGCCTTTCAAATAAATAAAATAGATCTTTTATTTTTTTACATTTAATCTTTTTTCTTTTTTCTTTCTTTTCTACTTTTATTTAATAAATATAAATTTCCAAAGTACAACTTTTGAATTATAGCAGCTTTCCCCCCATAACCTCCCTCCCACCCGCAACTATCCTATCTCCCATTCCCTCTCCCATCCCATTCTTCATCAAGATTCATTTTCAATTATCTTTATATACAGAAGATTAACTTAGTATATACTAAGTAAAGATTTCAACAGACTGCATCCACAAAGACACACAAAGTATAGAGTACTGTTTGAGTAGTAGATTTACCCTTAATTCTCATAGTACAACACATTAAGGGCAGAGGTCCTACATGGGGAGCAGGTGCACAGTGACTCCCGTTGTTGATTTAACAACTGACACTCTTATTTATGATGTCAGTAATCACCCGAGGCTCTTGTCATGGGGGGCTTAACAGAGTTACAACACAATCTCACCAGGACAAGATCATTCATGTGTGTGTGTGTTTGTGATTCATGTATTTGAAAGGCAGAATTAGAGAGAGAGAGGTCTTCCATCTGCTAGTTTACTCCCCAGATAGCTGCAACAGCTGATGCTGCGTGGATCTGAAGCCAGGAGCTGCTTCTAGGTCCCCAACGTGGTGCAGGGGCCCAGGGACTTAGGCCATCTTCTACTGCTTTCCCAGGCTATGGTAGAGAGCTGGATCAGAAGTGGAGAAGCAGGGACTTGAAATAGCACACCCATATGGGATGCTGGCACTGTAGATGATGGCTTTACCCGCATTGCCACAGTGCTGGCCCCAACATATTTATATTTTAAAATATCAATATATTATTTAAAATTTGCATTTCACTTAGGAATTAGAGGCTGATTATTTTATTTTCTATTTGTCTACCATTTGTACTTCCTTGGGTATTAATTATGCATTGACATATTTTCTAGTTTGTCAGGATATTTGGTCTGAGCTGGGTAAACTAATCTACATGGAGATATCTCTTTAAATAATTGATTACTCCTATTTAAGTGTTCATGCCCACCTGCTTTTTTTCTGGTCTGTCATTCATATAGATTCTATTGTTCAATTTGTCATACTGTAGTTTACTGTATGCTCCATGTCTGTCTCCTATACAGGGTTATTAATTTCTTCAGAAATATGTGAAGTGACCAAGGACACATAGTAGACATTGAAAAATGTAAGAAGAGGAAATCTGCCCAGAAAAAGTCTGCATCATGGGACTGAGACCTTAACATCTGCAGGCACAGGTGTTTCATTGTCACAGGAAGCAGGTGAGGTAAGCTGATACCTGTGCTGTAATGAGAGAAGGGAGCTTATGTTTGCTACAACAGAGTAGAGCAAATCCTCTCTACTTTTGTGTTGAATAAAGCCCCAGAATATTGTAGTGAAGACTCATAATCACACATTCTTTGTTTTGGCTCTGAATATAATAGCAAAAAAGGGTCAGAACACCACCTGCTAGGAAGCAGTAGTCTGAATCATCACTGCAGGGTGTAACTGAAGGCTAGGGGCAATAGTTCTGTCATCTTACAGCATTCCCAGGTTGATCTCATTCCAGCTCTGGGCTCCTGATATTATTTTGGTGGATGGAGACATTTGATTTTGTGCAAGGAGTTAAGGACCCTGAAATTAATAAGAAAGAAGTAGTCCTACCCTTTAAGCTGCATCACTCTCTGGTGTATTACAAATATATATATATTAATGGAGGCCAAATTATAGTCTCACTTGGAAAGGGGCACTAGTCACTTTTGGTGCCTGTGCTGGAACAAACTACCTGGACTCCATAGTCTTTTCATAAATGTTATGAAAGTAAGTAGAAACAGCAAAGAATTCTCAGTTCAAATACGTTCCCCAAATAAGTGTTTGAACTTCTGTTTGGTTATGCCAAAGTTATAAATTCTTAAAACCAGCAAAATTTGTTTTCTCTTTGGCTTCAAAATCTACAAAGATTTCCATTCAAAGAAGTGACAGCTACCATTGTGTGTCAGTTTTTTTTTTTTAAATCATAACTTTATATCTGATGATCTACTTCTAGAGTTAATTTTAGTGTGTGGTAATATCACCTTTCCTGAGCAGAAAACTAAATAGTCCCTCTCAATTATCATCACGTAGGTCATCAGGTAAATCACAAGTTTTATGATGCGTTTTCAAAGTTTGATGAAGCACTATGTTTTCTTTTTGCTTTTGTTAAAACATGAGTTACTTCTAGAGCCTTCTAGTGACTGTTGCTTATCCTGGTCAGCAATGTTGTTTTTTGGGGGTCAGAGTATCTCAGTCCTTCAGGGAACTCTCTTGAGTTCATGTGCTTTCTGGGGAAGCTGACCTCCCCTTGGCTCTGGAGATAGGCACGAGCCCACGCCTTGTGGTGACTTTGTTTACACTATTGTCAGTGCCCCTTTCCTCCTGGGGTCGCTAGTCCAGCAGGAAACAAAATTAGCATTGGCCCTAAATGCCATCTTTTGGGGGACTCGGCTGAAAAGGAAGATAAAATACTGAAAGTTATACTGAGTGACGGACTTCTAAGATATCATTTGAATCCAGTAATGTGTGGATGTTCTCTTAGCCTTGTTCCCATTTCAAGAGTCAATACATTTTTTCTGTTTAATGAAATAAGATGCCATTGGGTTTCTGATACCAGAACCAGAAAAAAAATCTTCCTTAATGAAGTTCTGGTAGGTTTTGTAAACTGCAGTTCACTTCTGTAAACTTGAGTTTTTGTTATTGTTCTTATTTTGGTTGGTACAGATCCCAGTGGTGAAGCAAGAATATTTTTGTGAAGTTATTCTCAGTGATTGGCAGAGCTGATATTGCTGCGTAACTTGGGCCAGTTGGATGTCTGTTAGGCATTTCAGAGTTAACTAGTGAAGACAGGATTCCCAATTTCCACCCCAGACTGATTCCTTCCCCTAGAATCCTCCATCTCATTTAATGACACTTATATTTATCTCACTGCTCAAGTACCACCTGGCAATCATTCTTCGTTTCCCCCTTTTCCTCAAGCCTTATGTTAAGCTACCAGGAAATCCCTTTAAGTTCACCTCCAAAGTATCTCCTAAATTTCTCTCTTGCTTATAGTCTTGGCAAAGGCTTTAAGTGGCCTTCTTAGTTATGATGTGTTGTATGCTGAGTCATCCCAGTGGTCTCATAACCCAGGTATGGGTACTCTCTGCCTGGAATCTCCTCAATGGCATCCCAATGCCCTAGAGATGATACTGATTCAGTATCACACTTGTAACATCTCACTTGTGATTCCTACTTATGTCTACATTATGCCACTTCCTTTCCTGAATATTATGCTTATCATTGTACTTCCTGATCCTTGAGGTTGTTAAAAACCATTAAAACCAGGCCAGTGCCGTGGCTCACTAGGCTAATCCTCCGCCTGTGGCACCAGCACCCCGGGGTTCTAGTCCCGGTCGGGGTGCCGGATTCTGTCCTGGTTGCTCCTCTTCCAGTCCTGCTCTCTGCTGTGGCCTGGGGAGGATGGCCCAGGTCCTTGGGCCCTGCACCCGCATGGGAGACCAGGAGGAAGCACCTGCTCCTGGCTTCGGATCGGTGCAGCGTGCTAGCTGCAACGCACCAGCTGTGGCGGCCACTTACGGGGTGAACCAATGGAAAAAAGGAAGCCTTCTCTCTCTCTCTCTCTCTCTCTCTCTCTCTCTCTCTCTCTCTCTAACTCTGCCTGTCCAAAAAAACAAAACAAAAAATCATTAAAACCAAATATTTAAAGTAGTACGTTATGGCAGGTCGTAGTCCATTTCCCTCCACATGTCAATTTGGCTTCAGGTTTCTAGAGAGCAACGTTGATGGTTTTTGTAACTTTTCATAAGTTCCTAAGATTCTATACCTATTTTCATCTGTTCTATATTGCATCTCAACTATATTGTTAGGCATGGGCATCATCAACATCATCATTCATGGAAGCATAATGAGGGTGATGCGAGTTTTAACTCACCCAAGGTGGTAATGATTAGTAAACCACCAGTGTCAAGCCTGAACCTCATGTGTTTTCTGTCCTAGATCATTGCTTTTTATTCTGTTACTTTCTGGCAATGATTGGGCTGGGGCCAGAATGACTCTTTCCCTATAAACATCAACCAGAATATAAACCTCAAAACTTTAAATACAGAATTCTTTCAAGATCTGCATGAACCAAGCTAATAATGATGGAGTTCCTCAGGGTAGAAACATTGCCTGCCTTGTGTAGGCAAAAAGCAGCCTGTTCTCAACACATGGGGACAAATATGGAAGGGATTCTCTGTTGAATACATACATACATGCAAGGCTTCCATAGAGGAATGTGTAAAAATCAGAAAAAGTCAACCACATTTTTTATTACAAAGAAAAATAAATTTTGGAATCAACTTCTTAGAAATGTACTTCTATGAGGATTGATGGAGGCCAACCAGGTATGGCCTGCAAACATTTCTACACACCTGAATACTTACCAGCTCAAGGCTCATTTCAGGAGACCTATGACAAGAGGGAGAACTGAGGGTATCCAAGGATTCTTCATTCAGGTTCTGTTTGCCTTTCCTCAAATGACTTGCACCTGCCTCTCATGAATGCATACTTCCTTACTAGGCTCTGTTTCTGTTTGCTTTTATTAAATAAATATATATATGAATTTTATTAAATATATATATCCCACCAAACAAAGTGTACATTAGTGAGCAGGATATCTGCAGCCAGCCACTTAGAAAATCAAACTGTTTATCACAGAGGCCTGATAACACTGCACCATGAATTCTCAGTGTACAGCTGTATTTTTTCTTTATCACTGAAAATGCTGAAACAAATGAGGAGATTTTGACACTGGGTATATCAACTTTATGGCGGCCATGAGACTTGATCTGAGTCAGTGACGTGTAGGGAAGAGAAGAGGGTTTGTAAAGCATATACTGGCAGTCCATAAACTTTAACTGGGCTTCCAGGGTGTTCTGTGGTTGTGAGGAAAGGAGCCCTGCTTTTCTCCTTCAATGTAGAAAAGTAGGGTCCAGAGGCAGCAGATGTGAAATGAATGGAGGCTGAAGCTGGATGGGCCCAAACTGGCAGTGCCTTTAGCAGGGTTATGGTAGCAATATGACAAAGGAGGAAGGAGGCTATTGCCTGATTGCCAAGCACAAGTCTGCAGGAATCTGACTTTTTTCGATAGCTTCCAGTTTCCCCTTTCTTGACAGAGAAGGAAGGCTGGTCAGGATGCTCTGATTGCTGGAGATCTTATAAACTGTCCCAGTGGCTTATGCTAAGCCAGTGCTGGGTAGAGGCCAGGTAAAGCATCAACTCCCTTGACCCCATATTTTCTCATCTCCATTTTCCTCAAACAGGATTTAAATATGTCATTGTACTATATTTTTGAGACTGCATGCAACAATGGAAAACACATGTACCATACAGTTTTGGATTTAAATTCTACTTTGTCATTGAACTTGGGCACGCCATTTTAACTTTCTGCATCTCAGCTTTGAATATGTAAAAATCTTTTTCAGAAGGTTTGTTAAATATTCACTAAATATTAATCGAGTTCCTAATATGTAGCATACACTGTCTCCTGGGTGCGGGGAGTCAATGTTGTTAGAGAGTTTACAGATAAGTGAGAGAGCTAGCTATTAGTCAAATAACCCCATGGATGACTCTGTGACTTCTGTGATTGCATTGTGGAGGGGGACCAGTGCCTATGGCTGTGAAGGTTGTGCACTGTATAACTCCAGAGGTAATCATTCATGTTGTAGTTTGTTTTGAGTGGTGCTCTCTAAAGTTGTATAGTCCATAAACTATGTTGCAGTACATGGCAGCTTAGTCTGAAATAAGGACTCTGAAAGAAAGGGATCTGGCTCTATTATAGAACATAAAAAAGCATAATTAATTTATGCTGGAGAGTTGGGGGAATGCATATGCAAACAGGAAGTGCTACTTCAGCTGAGAGGCACAGTAAGTACCAATTCCATGCCTAGTACTGGATCAGTCATGTTATAGACTATGAAATATGTGTGGCCTTCAAAAAGGTCATGAAAAATTCACATTATGAAATAATTGCATGGATTTCAAAACTTTTTGCATCAAAATAAACTTTTCACTGAGTTTTTCATCATTTTTGATATACCCTTATATATAGTGTTTCTTAATTATTTTGTGATTTTTTCTTTAACCGTAAAGCACCTCTCTTGAATCTTATTTTGCTTATTGGGTATGGCATTGGGTATTTTCCTGAGCAAGATCATTGACTGAGCTCAGAAGTTCTCTGAGCAGGAGGCAGGCTGTCACAGAGGGAACCTACGTAGGAAATCCCATCTTTTGATGATAGGATAGATTCTGAGCTGTGGTTGAGTTTGGGTCTAGTTTGGGGTAAAGGTCATAGATAATAGATGAAACATAGCAAGGTCTTGTACATTATCACTGTTAGTAATGAAATTTCCAGTCCTAGATCATTCTCCAGTGAAGCTCTCAGCCCTGGCTGCGGCAAGAATACCTGTGAAATAGATATTGGGATCTGCAGTCTGTCTGGCTCCCTCCGCTGATTTCTTCTGTAGTTATAAGAGCATGAGAAAGGAGCTAAACCAAGAGTATGATGGCACTTGGAGAAATAGGAACATAGATGTGGTAGAGTTCACCGTGGGAAGTAAGCATTAAGAGTCTTATGGTTTGGAGGCTGATAAATATTATCTCCTTAGGCTGGATACATACCTTCCACACACTCCAATCTTGAGAGAGAAAAGGTATGTATCATTTTTCCATATTTCCTCTGTGCATTGTAGGCATGCCCAGCTTCTTGTTGGCCCCTCTCTACCTTTCTCTACTCTGCTGTCTGTACTATGAGGCTGATCTTCATGGACCCATCAATGGGTTTCCTTGTTGTTTGCTTCTAGATGCCTTTGGCCAAAGCAATCCCCCTTGTAAGAGATTAGAGGAAAATAGTTGAGAGCAAGATCAGAGCATGCATTGTCAAACCAGAAGTCACTCAGAGCTATCAATCAGTGGCCTGTGTTGCCAAAAAACTCTGCTGTCATCTACATTATGTTTAGTAAACCTACTCAAGACGTGCCATAGCAACCACTGTGGAACAAGAGGCTCCACCCATGCCAGATTGCTTCAGCCTGAAGGTGGTCCTTGATGAGTGGATTACTTTCCAGGTATCCAATTCTATATGACTCCTTATTTTTGGTTTTTGGTGACTACACTTTCTTTCCATCCTAGGGTTGGCAACAGTGTAGCTTCTACCAGATCTGGGTTATGGGTGACTGGTTTCTCTTAACTTTATTTTTGGAAATAGTCTTATTGTACGCCATGGGGTCCCCAGTTGAGTTTATTACAGATTCTTGCCTCCACAGTCAAATAATTCAAAGTGGAGGCAGAAAGATATGCAGGAAAATAGGATTTATTCAAAGGAAAAGATCAGCCATGTTTGAGAGAAAGAGAATGAACAAAAAGTCAAAATACAAAAGATTCCAAAGAACAGAAACCCTTTAATAAAGAACCTCTTCCTCTCAAAAAACAAAATACCCTCAACAAGATTAGATCTATCCCATCTGGTGGCATTAGGGTATGGTGCCCATTATGGAGCTTAATTGAATTTCAAAAGGGGATGGAGTTGGGGCTGGGGCTTGGGCACTTCATATTTCCCTTGTCCTTTGTAGGAAATACTGGAAGTGCCATGCTGTAAGGTACATGATTGGAGTGGAAGTATCATTTTATTATAATAACCTTAAGGTCATCATGGAGACACATCCTGTGGCTATTTCTAGCTACCTATGGGTTCTAAGTTTGTAACACTGTGGAACTCAGTTTCTGTTACATGAAAAAATGTGTGAAAGGCTAGGTGGTGTGTGGGAGGTGGGTCTGAATGGTGCACTGAAAGGGAAGCGAGTCTGGGTTGTGCACAGAGGTGGGGTTGTCACACAGGCCAGAGTGGACTGTCACATGGGCTAAGCTGCTGTTATGCAGAGGCTGGCTAAGCTGTCCCATGGCAGGTTGGTCACTGGAGCATCCCATAGTGGCAAGATGTACTGTGGCTGTCAAACCATAGGTCACTCAGAGCTATCAATCAGTGGCCTGTGCTGTCAAAAATTCTGCTGCCATCTGCATTATGTTTAGTAAGCCTACTCAAGTCACTCCATAGAAACCACTGTGGATCAAGAGGCTACTATATACTGGGAACTGCATTCATAGAAAGATGCCATGACTCTCAGATCAGAATTTTTCAGTTTACAAAGTGCTTTGGAGGAACATGAACAGAGACAAAATACACTTGCTCTTACGTAGAGCTTTGTGTTTAATGCTTGTTCTCTCAGAGCTCACAGAGCTGGGCATTCACAGCACTTTGACAGAAGTTGCCCTATTTCTTCCATTCTTTAACTTTTCTAGCAGCAGATAGCTACAGCCTGAAATTCCAGTTTTGTATTAAATAAAAAGCTTTGTGCATAGAATTTTCTCATGGCAAGCTTGGATATTATGAAGCCAAGTAAGACTCAAACTCAGTCTGATTATTTAATAAACAATGAATAAAGCGATTGACCTTGATTATAATCAGGACTTGAATGACTTTCCATAGTATTAAAATTCCTGTGGCTGGTGGAGGCTGCTGTCCAAGGTTCATAGCCTTGTGGTCACTGTCTCCTTCCAACTGGCTTACACATTGGGAATCCTTTGGGTGACTGCCCATGTTCTGAGAACTCCAAGGCTGCTCTGGTCAGCATGTATGTGGACTCAGGTTAATGGGTCTAGCAACAAGGCCCTGAACCTCCAGAGCAAAGGTGTGGCTATCTGCTGTCCTTTCTTACTTGGAGAAGCACAGCAAATGTCTTCATTCATTCATTCATTTGGTTGTGTCTTTGTAAATTCTACCCATTTTTCTTTGAACTTTTTGATTAAAAATGCTGTCAGCCAAGCAATTGATCTGCAAGGGAAGATGCTATTTGTGATGCATTTTTCATTTCTTTTCATTACTTTTTTATTTTTTAGTAGTTGAAGATCCCTTCATGCTTGAAAACCTTTTGAATTTTTTGTTCTGTCATGAATGTAAAGTGGAAGCTGACAGATGTGTTAACCTTTCTCTTTGTAATGTCATTTGCATTACTTTGGGTCTCTGTACATAGCTTTGGAGTCTACATGCATGAAAACCACAGCTATAGCTGGTTACTGAGATACAGAGAACCCAGGTGATAGACACCTCCCTTCTCTCCCTGCCCTATTTGTGGTGACATCTGGGGTTGAAAAGTGACAGGACTTAAAGGGCCTGCAGAAGGGATTCAGAGATGCAGAGCACCTTCAAGGCATTAAATCCCTTTTGCTAGCACTTGTTTCCAAGAATTTCCACTGCAACCTATCTTGAGACTCCTTAATGAATTTGAAAATCATTTAGCATGAACTTCGTGCCTGGCACCATGTTAAACACTGTGGAGAGAACACATAACCACTGTCCTGCGGCTCATGTCCCATGTGGGAGACAGATACACACACTCACATATCAACTAAGCATAGGGGTTGTAGGAGCAACAAGGTGGCTCTTCCTAATCTAGCTTTGGCAGATGACCCAACACAATCATAGCACTGACTGTGGAACTGCTGGGAGGACAAGGTAGACACGGGCAATCAGGTGAGTTGTCCTGATCCTCTTCTCCTGGATCTCCATTTAGGTTTATAAAAGGGCTTTAACTTTTCAGTTCAGTGAGTGTCTTCTGATGCCAAAAACTCCAGAAGCTTCTTAAGCAAGTATAGTTTATGTGAAGATCAATACCTTAATTGGTAGTTATCTGCAGCTAACCTCCAGTGAGGAGGTAGCAGGGACTGCTTCTGGAGGGCAGTTAATATTTTGTTTTTATTTACAGAATCCAATGCAGTGCCTGGTATAGAAGAGAAACTTGGCCCGAGGCATTCAGAAAGGGCCGAGTTTCTCTTCTGCACCAGTCACTACACTGGATTCGGAGTTGAGTGATCTGTGTTCTAGCCAGGCAGCTCTTGATTCATCACATTTTCCCTATCTTGGTTTCCTCATCTATAAGGTGAGGATCATACTTGAAGAGCATCAAGGACATTTCCTACTTTGATATTCTCTTAGTCACACATACAATATAGAATAAAATTGTAAGCTGCCTTCTCAAAACAGAAAAAGGTCAGTTTCCTGACAGTACAAGACTGACTCTGTGAAGGGCGTATAATAACAGTTCAGGCTATAAAATGAAATCAGATAAGCTCTAAAGTCAATGCATTTCACAGTGGAGTATTTGTGGTTGATTGAACTGTTCAGAGATTAAATATTCAAGGTTAAAGATACAACTCCATTAAGGGGATCTATATCCTTGTGACATGCAACAGAATTTTTTCAATACTTCTAGTTTATTAAGCTCTTTGGAACATCAAAGCTCTGGGTAGAATATGGATAGTAAACATATTGCTTCTTGGAAATGAAAAAAAAAACTAGGATTAGAGACTCTGGGATGATCTATTAAATTGTCAGCTTATTGACAAAGTCCAGTATGGACGTGGTAGGTTATATTCCTAGTCCATCTAAGTATTGAATAGATAAAATATTTCATGACAATAATTGATTCACATGGAAAAGTTTCCTCATTTCCCAACCACACCAAAACTTCAACACTAAGAACCACTTTGTTCAATATATCCTTTGGAGAATGGCACTGTGTCTTTATTCATTTTGGAGACAAAGTGTGTCTTCTAAGTCTCGCATAAGATTCAGCCCAATTTTTTTCTCTTGAGTATTTGCTAGTATTTAAAGAGCTCTGAAAATGGAGAGGAGTAGCAGTCAGTAGTTTTCTGTTCTTTTTTCTAGATGTGGGCACAAAGGGCCTTAAGATTGATGTTTTGTTTCAAGTTAGATGATCACTCTGGTGTGAAAGAGGCAGAACAACTGACCAAAGGAAAATATCACTAATATCATTAATTAGGAATTTTGCAGGAATTGTAATGGATATCAATTAATACAAGAGACTTAGTCATTAAAAATGTTTTGTTCCAGGACAAAAAGAAAAATCTATGGAAAAAGATTTGCTACATAAAGCAGGAAAGACTTAGGAGGGAATTGGAGTGCAGCACAGGATGTTAGCCACGTGGAGTGGGAAGGCCATGGCAGAAAACTAGCCCTTAACAACTATGGTTTGGGACAGAATGAAGAAAACAGCTGAAAAAGTTGAACATAAGAGTTGTCTTCATTATACTCTATAGAAAATACCATTACATTTTACTGACTGTCTATATCCTCCTTTCCCTGTCTCCAGTCTTGATCGCAGAATTAAGGGCTGGCTGAAGTGGGAAACCAATTGCCTTGGCTTGCAAGGGTCTGAGGTCCAGGATTGCAATAGGCTGTACATAGGAATGCTTCATTTCAAAACACCTTTTGTATATGAATTTTGAGAACTTTTAAATTTTTTGTTCAGGGTTGGGAGAATTCAATATAAGCACAAAGCAATTTAGGAGTATTGCTCCTGAAAGAGTTAACTTCTTAGGGTTAATGGTGTTAAGGTACATGACATCCGTCAATATGAGGCTATCATCAGTATAAATTTCACCTTTCAACATCCCTGTAAATGGGTTACATCTTGTAAAATGAGATACATAGTATTCATGAATATGGCAAAAATGTGGGATCTCCATCACATAGCTGAGGGTCTGCTATAGTCAAAGCCGTTTAAGTTTCAAATGAAATAATTTCTTCAGATGGGAGGCAAGTTGTAGTTTCTCATTCATTAGTCATTAGCTAAGCTATTGTGTATCTACTAACTTCTAACTTATTGATAGCTTTTGGGAAATGGAAATAAAAAAACTCAAATAAAGAAACCAGAGTGAGTTTTGTGTGCTGCCAACCATAAAAGAGAACATTTGAATTTATGAATAATGAATACAAGGACTTTTGCTTGGACTCAATTTTCTTGGCTGTTACCAATGTCTCCGTGAAACAAATAACCATTAACTTGCATGCTGGTCACCTCTCAGGATACATTGAGAAATATGATGGTGTCAGAAATCACTTTTGGTGTGAAAGGAGTGTTATTCTTTATTACATTTTCAGTTTCTTACACTTATAAAAGTCTCCAAGTCTAGGGGCTGGTGTTGTGTGTGGTATAACAGGTAAAACAGCTGCCTGTGACACTGGCTGTAAATGGGTGCTGGTTTGTGTCCCATCCGTTCCACTTCTGAGCCAGCTCCCTGCTAATGGTCTGAGAAAAGAACAGAAGATGGCCCAAAAATTTGGGATCCTACCACCCCCATGGAAGACCCAGAAGCTCTGGCTTTGGCTTGGCCCAGCCTGGCCATTACAGCCATCTGGGGAGTGAGCCACCAGATGGAAGACGTCTCTCTCTGTCTCTCCCTGTTTCTCGCTCTCTGATTTTCAAAAAAAAAAAAAAAACCAAAAACCCACCACCAACAAAAAACCTTAATGTCTCCAAGTCTGGAGAAATGCTGAAAATCTTCCCATGGGAGAGCATATGCTTATTCAGATAATCTAAATTAACACATGGGCAATAAAGTCACTTGTATCTAATTTTGCACACTGCAATTTCCCTGTGGATGAGAAGGGAGATAGGATAGATTCAAAGTTATAGAGCATGAGACCAGCTCTGCTGATGTCAGTCAGCAGTTTTTAGATCTTAGGAAAGTCTTCTGAGCCTTAGGTGAGGCTTCAAGTTTTCCTTACTCATCAACAATATTATAAAACCTACTTGCATAGTGTGGATATTTGGCCTGCTTTCCATATTGGGGTGCCTGTATTTGATACTTGTTTCTAGCTCTTACCTCCAGTTCCTTGCTAATGTGGACCCTGCAAGGTAGGGATGATGATTCAAGTGATTTGGTACCTTCCACTCATGAGGTCCATGATCCTACTTCTGCCCCCTTGGCCACTGTGGGCATTTGGAGAGTGAACCAATAGATGGGAGCTCCTTATCCTCTATGTCTCTCTAAGTAAACAAATACAAATTAAAAATAAAATCTACCTATTTTTAAACTTAGTAAATATAAATTTCCAAAGTACAGTTTGTGGATTACAATGGCTTCCCCCACCCCCATAACTTCCCTCCCACTCGCACCCCTCCCATCTCCCGCTCCCTCTCCCATTCCATTCACATCAAAATTCATTTTCAATTCTCTTTATATACAGAAGATCCATTTAGTATATATTAAGTAAAGATTTCATCAGTTTGCACCCACACAGAAACACAAAGTGTAAAATACTGTTTCAGTACTAGTTATAGCATTACTTCACATTGGACAACACATTAAGGACATAGATCCCACATGAGGAGTAAGTGTACAGTGACTCCTGTTGTTGACTTAACAAATTGACACTCTTGTTTATGGCGTCAGTAATCTCCCTAGGCTCTTGTCATGAGTTGCCAAGGCTATGGAAGCCTTTTGAGCTTATCAACTTTGATCTTATTTAGACAGGGTCATAGTCAAAGTGGAAGTTCTCTCCTCCCTTCAGAGAAAGGTACCTCCTTCTTTGATAGCCCGTTCTTTCTACTGGGATCTCACTTGCAGAGATCTTTCATTTAGGTTTTTTTGTTTGTTTTTTTGCCAGAGTGTCTTGGCTTTCCATGCCTAAAATACTCTCATGGGCTCTTCAGCCAGATCTGAATGTCTTAAGGGCTGATTCTGAGGCCAGAGTGCTGTTTAGGACATCTGCCATTCTATGAGTCTGCTGTGTATCCTGCTTCCCATGTTGGATCGTTCTCTCCCTTTTTGATTCTATCAGTTAGTATCAGCAGACACTAGTCTTGTTTGTGTGGTCCCTTTGACTCTTAGACCTATCAGTGTGATAGTTCAGTTATGAACTGAAATCATTCACTTGGACTAGTGAGATGGCATTGGTACATGCAATCTTGTTGGGATTGTACTGGAATAAAATCTACTTTGAAAATTGTTTTAAAAATTGTTCAAAAAGATATAAAATATAAGAGGATTATTAGCTTTAAGCCCAACTTATTTACACATCTAGATTGCCTATATAAAATTTTAAACTTGTTTTCTAGAATAAGGTGTTATGGACTGAATGTTTTGCCCTTCCAACACTGCCATGCTGATATTCTAAGCCACAATTAGAAGGTGAGTCTTTTGGGATGTAATCGGCATTAGTAGGGCAGATCCTTTATGAAGGGGATTGATATTTTATAAAACAGGGACCAGAAGGCTCTCTAGATTTTCTTCTTGCCATGTGAAGATACAATGGGAAGCATACAGTCTGCAGCCTGAGAGAGGGCCCTCATAAGAAGCCTACTAAGCTGACAACCTCATGTCTGAGCTCCAGCCTCCAGAACTGTGATAAACAAATGTCTATCTCTGTAAGCCAGCCATTGCCATTCTGTGGTGCTTTGTTATAGCAGCCTGAACCAAGTCATAAGGAGAGATTGAGTCTATCAGAACATTGCTTTGATGAAAAGGCTTTCTGTATTGAGAATGCATTTTATAGGAGAATTGCACTAAATGAGTAAAACAGGAACAATCACCCACTTTTGTTTTTTTGCCTTAAATTTGAGGGAGAGTATGATAGTATATGCTACAAACGGAAAGATCTCTGGCCAGGGCCTCATTCCTCAAACATCATCTGACAAGTCTTTTCCATAAAATTCCTCTTGGGTCAGGTCTTTGTGATTATTAGAATTTGGGGAGCATATAATGAACCTGCAAAGAAAAATCTGATATTGGCGGAATTCATACTTCACTTCTAGCCATAAACTCAGCTTCATAAACTAGAGTGTCTTCACATTTGCAAATCTGAGTATCATTCAAAAAATTAAACTTGATTACAAGCTATGCAAAGAATTGATCTTTCAGTTGGCTAAAAAATTGCCCCAATCCCTTGATAAAGAGAATCTATGGTTTGCCTTCCTTTGAGAGATTTGTGTTTGCAGAACTAAAATCCACCAAAAGTACACTTCCAGGACTCTGAAAACTGAGGCCAAGGTCATTTTAAAAGTAAATTAATCCTACTGATTTCTGTCTTTTACATGTCCTTAGAGTCAGAGAATTATGGTGAGGCAGGATTCTTATTTGCTAAATGAAATGTTAAAACCAGCTAGTAAAAGTTGTCAAATTTATAGTGGAGATAGTAAAAATGGGAATTGCAATCATTTAGGCATAAGTAATTTTTGTGTTTATTGTCTTCATCTTTCAGAAGGGAATTAAAAAAATATATAATCTTCAAGATTGAGGGGAAGAGCTATAGAACCACTTTGGAATAACCTGTGGTCATCCCTGAAAGGAGGTCATTGCTCTTTAGTGAGAATATACAATAGCTGCATCTCCATCCCAATGGCAGGCATCTTCCAGGTTAGAAACTTGTTATATTGACCAATTTTTCACACTACAACTTCAATTCAGTTGTCCTAAATTCCATCTCACTGATATACAATTTTTTTCTTGCAAATTATAGCCTTTCAAGAAGTTGAAGAAAGATTTGAAAGTTGTTTTTGGAGGATTCTGAAAGGAAATTACATGTTGCTTTCTTTAATGCGTTGGTTATGTTTGATATATGCTTGTAAAGTGTGAAAATCTGTTTCATTCTATAGATGTCTGTCCATCTTTCTTCTGATGAGAGTGGGCCATTAGAACTGGACAAATGGTGCATTCCCATTAAACAGATATTGAGCTGTCAGAAGCCATTGATACAGAGTGTGCTCTTCTCTTGGATTTTTGTTTTCCAAGGTCAATGTGCATAATCTCAGCTCTCTGGTATCTCACTAGTGCCTATTAGTAGACTGCCCATAAAGTTACCTCCTCAGAAGCCAACTCCAGTTTTTCTCTGATCTCTGAAGTCTACCCAATATTGTTGATATTGAAAATGATTTTACCTTAATTGATGGCAATTGAAAGTGTCAGTACAATTTGGGCTGATCAATATGTAAGTAGCCAGGGCCTGAGTAGTCAATTAGTCTTCGAGTTTCTAAGAGAAACTTCCGTTAATAGACACACTGACTGGGTAGCTAGAGTCAGACAACTGAGGTCAGTGCATCAGATTAGCAGAGCACCAGGTACAGAGTCTTTCTGTCCTGTCTCCCTGTGAGAACTGTGCAGAGAGCTGAGCGGTTCACTTATCACACTGCTTTGTGCAGAGTATTCCTATTGAATATTGGATAAATATCTTCCTGTTTAAATGATGATTGGTTAGGATTGTTTTTATTCTGACATTTTATTTATTTTATTTTTTAAAAGAGTTATTTATTTGAAAGCGTTACACAGAGAGGGAGAGGCAGAGAGAGGATTCCATCTGCTGTTTCAGTCTCCAGTTAGCCACAAGAGCCAGAGCTGCGCCAATCTGAAGCCAGGAGCCAGAAGTGTCCTCTAGGTCTTCCCATGTGGAGGCAGGGGCCCAAGGACTTGGGCCATCTTCTACTGCTTTCCCAGGCCATAACAGAGATCTGAATCAGAAGTGGAACAGCCAGGTCTCGAACTGGCACCTGTATGGGATGCCAGCACTGCAGGCGGTGGTTTTACCCGCTACACCATAGCACCACCCCTACATTTTATTTTAAAAATATTAATCTATTTTCTAGAAGGGACAAGGCACTCAAATTCTAAATACAGAGTTTAATCGCATAAAGTTGAAGTAGAAGTGAGGAAAAGAATCTAGTGCCTTTTAAAAATAATCATTGTTATTGAATTATATATCACTAATCAATATACACAATTCAGCTACTTTATGTGAGTTTTTTTTTTAAAAAAATGTATGCAGTCATGTAATCACAGCCACACTCATAAGAAATTACATAAGAATCACAAAGTGTGCATTCTCTTGTATATGCTCTGACTTCTTTTTCTCTGCATGGTGTTGCTGGAGTCATCCATGTTGTTACATGTAGAAGTAGGTCATTCTTTTTTTTTGCCTAGTGGTAGTCTAGTGTTGGATATATGATGATTTCTCTAGCCAGCATCTTTTGAAGGGCCTTTGGGCTTTTCAGGTTTTTGCTACAGGTCCCGCAAATGTTTATAAACAAATTTGTGTGAGTGTGTGTGTGTGTGTGTGTGTGTGTATACATGCTTTCATTTTGCTTGGGTAAATACCTGGGAATGGAATTTAATGTTATGGTAAATATTATGCTTAAGGTCATAAGAAACCATTAAACTTTTCCAATGCAATTGTAGTATTCTACTTTGCCATCTGCAATGCATGAAAGTTCCAATTTTTCCATATCTTTGCCAAAACTGGTACAATCACTTTATTTTTAGCTTTCAAATGAAGTGTAGAGTCATTTTATTATAGTTTACATGCCTTTGATTATTCATGGTGTTGGTCATTTTCTATATACATTCGTCATTTTCATTTTGTGAGAAGCATCAATGTGAATATTTTGCTCATTTTTGCATGAATGTCTTATTAACTCATTGATATGGACATGATTTTTTGTCATATCTATGATATATAATGATTGAAATAAAAATTGTATTTCCTATTCAGATATATTCAGATATATATTGAGAATATATATATGGAATATATATATATACAGATATATATGTGCCATTTTCAAAAATTATATGGCCTATTTTCCATTTCTATTTTAAAGAAGAGAAATTTTAAATTTGCTGTTTGATCTGAGATATCTTCGTGTATACCAAAGTCACATATATTTTTTCTTGTGTTTTCCCCCAATAGCCCTTTTTTTTTTTTTTTTTGACAGGCAGAGTGGACAGTGAGAGAGAGAGACAGAAAAGGTCTTCCTTTGCTGTTGCTTCACCCTCCAATAGCCAATGGCTGCTGCGGCCAGCACGCTGCGGCCAGCGCACCACGCTGATCCGATGGCAGGAGCCAGGTACTTATCCTGGTCTCCCATGGGGTGGCCATCCTCCACTGCACTCCCGGGCCACAGCAGAGAGCTGCGCTGGAAGAGGGGCAGCCAGGACAGAATCCGGTGCCCCGACCGGGACTAGAACCCGGTGTACTGGCGCCGCTAGGCGGAGGATTAGCCTAGTGAGCCGCGGCACCGGCCCTTTTTTTTTTTCCCCCAATAGTCTTATACTTTGTAGACCTATGATTCATTTTGAGATAATGTTATGTATGGTGTGATATAAGAATTGAGGTTCATTTTTTTAACAGTTGGATATTCCATTGTTTCAGAACCATGTTAAGACAATCCTTTCTTCATTGAATTAACTTGGCATAATTGTTAATTCATATGTGTTTTTATCTAGACTTTGTTCTGTTTCATCCTTTATAAATAGTGTTATTGCTGTAGCTTTAAGTTTTAAAATCAGGAAATGGTTATTTTTGGATTTCAAGCCAACTTTCCAATCCTTTAAAAATTCCTATTGGAATTTTAATTAGGATGTTCTAGATTAATGTCAGTAGAATCAATCTCTTAATATTCAATTCTGATCCATGAATGTGAATCAGCAGTGTTTTATAGTTTTTAAGTGTTTATAATTTTTGGGTTAAAATTATCTCTAAAGTCCTTTGTTTTCTCATCCTATCTAAATCTTTAAAAAATATTTATTGACATGCAGAGTTACAGAGACAGAAAGAGAGACACACACAGAGAGATCTTCCATCCTCTGATTTACTGGCCAAATGGTCACAATTGTCAGGGCTGAGCCAGGAGCCTCTTCCAGGTCTCTAACATGGGTGCGGGGTCCAAGCACTTGGGACATCTTTGGTTGTGTTCCTGAGAGCATCAACAAGGAACTGGATTGGAAATGGAGCACCTGGGTCTTTAACTGGTGCCTGTATGGGATGCTGGCACTGCAGATGGTGGTCTAACTTGGTATGCCACATCATTGCCCCCTTAATTGGGGTTTTAAAAACATTTTATTGGTTGTAGATGTGTGGGTTTATTTATGGAGTTTCTATCTGTTTTTGTGCCAATACCAGGCTGTTTTAATTATAACTGCCCTGTAGTATGTCTTAAAATTTGGTATTGTGATGTCTCCAGCTTTGTTTTTGTTGTATAAGATTGCATTAGTTATTGTCTCTTGTGTTCCCATATGAATTTTAGCATCACTTTTTTCTAGGTCTATGAAGAATGTTGATATTTTGATTGAGATTGCATTGAACCTGTAAACTGGACTGGATGAATATCATCATCATGAATATCAACTGGATGAATATCATTCCAATCGAACATGAAAGATTTTTCCATTTTTAAAATGTATTCTGTTTCTTTCTTTAATGTTTTGTAGTTTTCATCACTGAGATCTGTGACATCCTTGGTTAAATTTATCCCAAGGTATTTAATTATTTTAGTAGCAATTGTGACTGTGGTTGATCTTAAAAGTTGTTTCTCAGCCATGGCATTGTCTGTGTATATAAAGGCTATTGATTTTTGTGTGTTGATTTTATATCCTGCTATTTTATCAAACTCTTTTATGAGTTCCAATATTCTCTCAGTGGAGTCTTTTGGATCACCTATATGTAGAATCATGTCATCTCTAAAACAGGGATAGTTTGATTTCCTCCTTCCCAATTTGTATCCCTTTGATTCCTTTTTCTTATCTAATGGCTTTGTCTATATTAAATAGCAATGGACTATGTTAAATGCAATGGTGAGAATGAGCATTCTTGTATGGTTCTGGATCTTAGAGGAAATGCTTCCATTTTTTCTCCATTCAATAGGATGCTGGCCATGGGTTTGTCATAAACTGCTTTGTGTTGAGGAATATTCCTTCTATACCCAATTTGCTTAAGGTTAAAAAGGAACTAAAATCAATCCCTGGAGCAAATACAGTTTCTTCAACAAATGGAGCTGAAAAAACTGGATTTCCATGTGCAGAAGTGTGAAATTAGACTTCTACCTTACACCTTACACAAATATCCACTCAAAATGAAGCAAAGACCTAAATATACAATCTGACATCAACACATTATTAGATAACATTGGGGGCAATTCTGTAAGATGTTGGCATAGGCAAAGACTTCTTTGAAAATGCCCCAGAAGCACAGGCAATCAAAGTCAAAATTGACAAATGAGATTACATCAAAATAAGAAGCATCTGCACTGCAAAGGAAACACTTAAGTGAACAGACAGCTGACAGAATGAGAGAAAATATTTGCAAACTACACAGCTGATAAAGGGTTAATATCCAGATTCTATAAAGAGCTTAAGAAATCCAACAACAACAAAATAAACAATCCAGTTAAGAAATGGGCAAAGGACTTGAGCAGGCATTTTTCAGGAGAGAAAATTCAAATGGACAACAATTAGAAAAATGCTCAGGATCCCTAGCCATCAGGGAAATGCAAATCAAAACCACAATGAGGTTTCATCTCACCTCAGTTAGAATGGCTTTCATAATAAATAAACAAATAACAAATGCTGGTAAGGATGTGGGGGAAAAAGTACCCACTGGTACAGCCACTGTGGAAGACATTATGGAGATACCTCAGAAATCTGAATATAGACCTACCATATGATCTAGCCATCCCACTCCTGGGAATTTACCCAAACAAAAATAAATCAACATATGAAGGAGTTATCTGTACCCTTATGTTCATTGCAGCTCAGTTCATAATAGCTAAGATATGAAGTAAAGATGACTGGTTAAAGACATTATGGTATTTGTACAGTATGGAGTACTGTGCAATATGGAGTACTACTCAGTTGTAAGAAAAAAATGAAATCCTGTATTTTGCAGCAAATACACACAACTGGAAGCCAATCCCCCAAATACAGATACCATATATTTACCCTGTGCCAAGGTAACTAATAGAGTTCTTAAAATGTAATGTATTGGAGTGAAATGGACATTTTGAGATTTGATGATTGTTGACAGCCATTGTCTTTTAAGGAACAGTAGTTTTTTTTTCTTCATAATATTTGTTGAAATCTTATATTTAGTGTATGGTTAACTTTCCAGTCATTAAGTAAACCAAAAATAGATCTCAAAAAATTAAGAGTGGGAACAGGAGAGGGAGGAAGAAGAAAGGTTGGAGCATGGGAGGGAGGAAGGGTAGGGTTGGAAGTGTCACTATGTTTTTAAATCTGCACATATGAAATACATGAAACTTGTATAACAAAATTTTTTAAAATTCATTTAAAATGTACTCATTACTTGCACATGGAAATACTGCATTTTTTAAAAACTTAG